AGAGAGAGAGAGGGAGAGAAAGAGAGAGAGAGGAGAGACAGGGAGAGAGAGAGACAGGGAGAGAGAGATGGGGGAGAGAGAGAGATGGGGGGAGAGGGAAAAAGAGAGAGACGGGGAGAGACAGAGAGGCAGGGAGAGAAAGAGAGAGATGGGGAGAGAGAGAGGGAGAGGGAGAGGCAGGGAGAGAGATGGGGAGAGAGAGAGACAGGGAGAGAGAGAAACAGAGAGAGAGAGGGAGAGAGATGGGGGGAGAGAGGGAGAGACAGGGAGAGAGATGGAGAGACAGGGAGAGAGATGGAGAGACAGAGAGAGAGACAGGGACAGGGAGGAAGGGAAGCTTTGCCACTTCCCCGAGCGAGTGATAAGGCACCAGGTCAGGGGACCACGTGTGTCCCGCGTCCTGGGGTTAACGCTGAGCTGCAGACGGATGAACACGTGCAGCTGACGGTCCGGGACCTGGCAGGACATGAAATGAATTCCGTAAACTGTGAAACATTCATCACAGGACCGTGTGTTCCGAGACAGGATAAAAATACCACCAGCACGTGGGGACACGCGGTCCGCAGAGGGGCCTCCCCCGCTGTGGGAGTCGGAAGGGGCCGGGGCGGGCCGGGGGGAGAGGCTGCCAACCCCAGCTGTGCGGGAGCAGGTGTGGGAGGGAGAGAGCGGGACAGCTGAGGGGCTTGGGAGGGGCTGTGGGCAGCTGCCCCCAGGGAAAGGAGGGCGTGAGTGCGGACAGGGTGGAGGAAGGGCAATGCCAGGAGCGGGGCGGGGAGGGGGGAGAAGTGGGGAGGCAAGTGGAGGACTAGACCAGTGAAAAGAGGACACGGGGAGGGACCTCCAGTGTGGGGGGCGCAGGTTCAATCCCCGATCAGGGAACCAGTCCCACCTGCTGCAACTAAGTTCCCACGCCACAACTAAGGGTCCTGCGTGCCGCAGCCAAATAAGAAGATGCAGGGAAAACCGAGTGGGAGCAAGAGCGAGGACAGGACGGGAAGGCAGCGGGAGCCTCGTGGGGAGAGAGGGGAGAGCAGGAGAGGCTTCGGTGAGAGGTGAGAGGGCCGCTCAGTCCTGTCTGACTGTTCGCGACACCACGGACTTGGCCCGCCAGGCTCCTCCGTCCCTGGGATTCTCCAGGCAGGAACACTGGAGTGGGTTGCTGTGCGCTCCCCTCCAGGGGGTCTCCCCGACCCAGGGGTTGAACCCGGGTCTCCTGCATCGCAGGCCAACTCTTTACCATCTGAGCCACCAGGGGAGCCCAAAGAAAGACAGAAACACGGTTTAAGGAAAAGAAACAAGGGCCGGTGGGGAAGCAGCATGTGTGTGTGAGTGAGAGAGAGAGAGAGAATTCAAGAGGGGGAAACTGAGGATCAGGGTGTAAGACGGGGGTGAGAGGAGACTGGGGGCGGGTCTGTGGGGAGAGACAGACAAACGGACAGGAGGTAGAGACGGTCAGGATGGGGACGGGGGAGGAGAGGCCGGAGGAAGAGAGGTTGAAGAGAAAGGCCTCATCAAGAAGGTGTGAGCAAAGGAAACCAGTGTGGGGGAGATTCATCCAGGAACGTGTGTGTGTCAGAGAAACCGAGGCTGAGAAACTGTGTGTGAGGCAGAGGAGCAGGAGAGAAAGAGAAAAAAGATGTGGGGGGGGGGGGGGGGGCAGAGAGCATGAGGCCCAGAGAATGGGAGGGAGGAGAGAGAGACAGGGGGACGGGGAAGGACCAGTGGAGAGACAGGGGTCAGAGGGAGAGGCAGGGAAGGAGACGGAGACCCAGGGAGAGAAGGGCCCTCAGCCAGGCTCACGGAGGGCGGGAGACACAGGCCCCCAGTGAGTCAGGACTCAGAGGATCAGGAATTCTCTTGCCCACCCCCTTCACCCTCATCAGAGCCTCAGTTTCCTCAGCTGCTTCCTGGGGTGGGGGTGGGGGAGGAAGCAGAAAGGCGGGGACTGGGGGCAGAAGGCGGCACCTGGGGATCTAACCACCCGGACTTCACCACCAGAGGAAGAATGAGCACCTTCTATCCTGCTTTTCCCTCCTGGTCTCCTTCAGCTCCGCCACCCCACACCCTAGGCAGTGGCTGTTGTGACCCATACATTCTCCCCCAATGAGGAAATCCAGCTGGACCCCCATCATTCATCAGCTGGCCTCACCCAGCACCACGGTGAGGGGGGGCGGCAAAGACGATGGGCCCTTCCTACAGCGCCCAGACCCCTTGTGTCTGGAAAACTGAGAGCTTCCACTGCTGAGAAGGAAGGGGAACAGGAGAGGAGGGGCAGGGGAGGACACAAGGAGAGGAGGGGCAGGGGAGGACACAGGATCTAAGGAGAGGCGGCAGTGTGAGTCGCCCAGCATGCAGTTGGTGCATAATTAGTGCCCCTTCCCTTTACCGGGGGAGAGTGAGGAGAGCAGGAAGGGAGAGAAGAGACAGCCAAGTGTGGGGGGTGGGACACTGTGCTTTATGGAAAAAGCCTGACACACACTTGGTGCTCAATCAATGCCTACTCATTCCCTTCTTCAGGAGAGAGAAGCCAAGTCAGAAAAGATATGAAGAAACCATCAGCATGGAGGAAAAACAGCAAGAAACACAGCTTGTGGAGAGAGGGCCAGGGGTGGAAAGAACCAGGCATACTGTGGGTGCTCTTAAGTGTTCATTCTCTTCCCGGGAGAATGAAGACAGGAGGAAAAGGAGAGGAGAGACGAAGCTCCAGCAGAGAGAATGGAAGCTGTGATAGAAGGAGACGGTGTAGGTAAAGGTAGTGTAGGTAGTGGGAATACAGTGGGCACTTAATAAATACCCACTCCCCTCCCTGGCTGTAGGGACAGAGGAGGCAACCAGAATGAGGAAAGCAAGCCAAGAGGGGCGAGAGAAGAGAGAGCCGGGCTTGTGAGGCAAGCCAGGACAGACAGACAGCTGATAGGAGGAGTAGCACACAGCAGGCGCTCATACATGCCCAGTCCTCCCCCAGGAGAGCGCCAATGGGGCAGAGAGGAAGGGGAGAAGCTGGAGCAAGGAGCTGGGAAGAAGAGAGAAAATGAGGAGAGGACATGCTATTGTGAAGGTGAAGTACACAGGAGGTGCTCAATAAATGCACATTTTCTTCCTTGGAGGAGAGAGAGAGCAAGAGGAAAAAGAAGACACGTGTAAAGCAAGGCTGGCCAAGGAGGTGACAGGATGGAGCAGGAGGGAGGAGGTGATAGCAGAGGAGGTTGTGTGGGTAAACCATGGGGCAAAGAGGAGGTGCTCAATTAATGCTTGTTCCCTTCCCCAAAGAAGGCCCAGAGAGCACAGGAAGGGAAGGTGGCAAAATGAGAGGAGCAGGAAGAAAGAAGCAAGAGAAGATGAGCTGGGGGCGGGGGGGCGGAGGAGGTGTTAATTGCCTGGTATACAAGACCCCATAGACTATACAGTCCATAGAATTCTCCAGGCCAGAATACTGGAGTGGGTAGCCTTTCCCTTCTCCAGGGGATCTTCCCAACCCAGGCATCGAACCCAGGTCTCCTGCATTGCAGGCGGATTCTTTACCAGCTGAGCCACAAGGGAAGCCCTGGTATCCAGTAGGTGCTTCATAATTGCTTTTTCATCCCCAAGAAAGGGCAGACAGAGCATAAAAAAGGAGAAGTCAGAGATGAAGGAACAGGGAGAGTCAAGGGGCAGGGGGAGTGGAGGGAAGCTGCCAGGCACACAATCGGTGCTCCATAAATGCCATTTCCTCTCCTGGCAGAGAGCAGAAAGAAAGACCACAGGTCTGTGGAGAAGAGAGGGCGAGAGGAGAGTCGAGAAAGAGCAAGCAATTGCTTGGTATACCACAGTGAAGTGGAAGTGAAGTCGCTCAGCCGTGTCCCACTCTGCAATCCCACGGACTGTAGCCCACCAGGCTCCTCCCTCCACGGGATTCTCCAGGCAAGAGTACTGGAGTGGGTTGCCATTTCCTTCTCCAATGGTGCTCAGTATTTGTGTGTCCCTTGCCTTGGCAGAGAGCCCAGAAAGACAAGGAGGGGACAGGAGGAAGAGAGTGTGAGGAGGGGAGAGAAGTGTGTAAACTGCCTGACACACAGTAGGTGCTCAATATATGTTCATTCTCTCCCCTAGGAGGAAGCAGAGTCAGAAAGGAGAGGAAATGAATAGAGAGAGAAGAAAGGAATTGGGGAAGAAAAGAGTGTAAGAAGAGACAGGGTTTGTAAATTCCCCAGCATACAGCAGGTGCTCAATACATGCCCATTTCCTTGCGGGAGAGACCAGGCAGTTCAGGAGGAAGGGAGAGAAAACAGGGTGGAAGGGATGGGAGAACAAAGAGAGAAGAAGGTGCAGAGACAGTGTGTGGAACTGCCTGGCAAACACTAGGGACTTAATAAATGCCCATCTCTTCCAAGGAAGAGAGCTGGAAGTTCGGGAGGAACAAGCAGAGGGCACGGAGGAAGGGGGTCGCGGAGACGAGAGGGTGTCAGGACAGGCACGGAGGCATTCAGGGTGCACCCAGCAGGATGCAGAAATGCCTGGCTCCTTCCCCTGCAGAGCAGAAAGCAGGCTCAAGGGGGTGGAGACCCCAGCAGGAAGGCCAGAAGGCGGGTGTAGGGGGGTCTGAAGCTGGAGGTTGAAGTCAGGCTTTTGGTGGCCCCCCGCCCCAGCTGCCCCGAGGACCACGGAGTGGGACAAGAGCCCGTTGTTTGGGGCCTGGCACCGCCTGGTGGAGGTTGTGGGGGTGGTGGCCGCTAGCCCCGTCTGCTGTGTTTGGGGGGACGTGGGCACTGCCTGCTGTGTGTATGTCAGCCTCTGAGCCTCCGGGTCTTGCACCTTCACCGGCCCTCCCCATCTCTGAGTTCCTGGCGCCCAGCTGGTCTGCCTCTGTGTCTGGGTCCCTGTCCCCTGCTGTCTTGGAGTTGGCCTCTGCACACATCTCTCTGCCTTTCTCCCCATCTCTTCCATCTGGCTCTCAGCCTGTTTCTGGTGGTCTCTCTGGGAGGCAGGAACCCTGACCCCAGCCCTGGGTTCTCGACTACCCCCTCCCACCTGCTGGGATCAGGACGGGGGTGGTGTTGCTGAGCTCAGAGGCAGAGGGGTGAGAAAGGAAAGGAGGCGAGAGGAGTTGGAGAGGTGAGGATAGACACAGCTTTATTCAGCAGAAACCACGGCAGAGGCCCCGGGGCGGCTCCATCCCGGGCGCTGGAGAGGTGGGGTCAGAGAGAGGAGAGAGAGGCTGGGAGAGGCAGGGAGAGAAGGAGAGAGAAGCCGAGAGAAGCGAGGAGAGAGATGGAGACAGACTGGGGAGACGGGAGAGGGATGGGCAGAAGGGTGGGAGATGCGGAGAGAGGTGCAGAGAGAAGGGCTGGGCGCGAGCAGACAGAGAGAGAAAGCGAGAGAGCGGGGAAAGCCACGGAGACAAAGAAGTGGAAAGAGAGAGACAGAGAGGGCACTTCCCCGGTGGTCCAGTGGCTAAGACCCCAGGATCCCACTGCAGGGCGTGCGGGCTGGATTCCTGGTCAGGGAACTGAGAACCCGCCCGCTGCGCGGTGCAAAGGGAGAGACAGACAGACAGACAGACAGAGATGAAGAGACAGGAGAGAGATGTGGGAAGACAAAGCCCAGAGAGATGACGGGGAAGGGAGAAGGACAGAGGCGGAGTCAGGGACGGGATGGGGAGAAACAGCCGCGGGAGCGGGGGTCCGAGAAGCGAAGAGACGGAGAAAGGCAGAGGGAGAGAGCCGGGCGCCGCAGGGAGAGAGGAGAGAGCCGGAGAGAGTGGGCAGCGCCGTGCGGGTGGGACGCGGGGAGGCAGGAAGGAGCGCGGCCCCTCTCACCTGGCATCGCCGGCGGCCGCCCCGCCACGGCCCGACTGCGATTTAAGGGGCGTCCCGGGGGGCGGGGCTGCACCCCCCGCGGCCTTATCTGGCCAGACCCGGGCTCAGACAGCTAAATCGGGTCTCAGCTGTCGGCGCCCGGCGCCCGGGGGGCGCTGGAGAAGGCACCTGGGAAGATCACTCAGGCCCAGGAATAGAAGCACTCAGGGAGCCCCGCCAGGCTGTCTGGGACTTGACAGGACAGGCGACAGGCACGGGGCGGGGGAGTGGGCCACAGAGGGCCCAGGGAGACAGACAGACAGACAGACAGAGGCTGAGAGAAACACCCGGAAAGAGAGCTCAAGACAGGGGCACCGAGGGAGGGCCAGATCAGAGACTGGGGGGAGCGTGGGGCCTGCTTGACTGTTTTATACGCATGGCTGTTCCGGGTTTCAGCCGTGGTATATGACCTCTTAGTTGCTACATGTGGGATGTGGGAGACCTTCCTGACCAGGGAGACCAGGGAATGAACCTTGCTGCCCCGCTTCCACGCCCCGCCCCACCCCCGCTGGCATTGGGAGCCTGGAGTCTTAGCCACTGGACCACCAAGGACGTTCCTTGTGCATCTTGACTTTTCACTTTTACCAGTTGCCCTTTGACCTCTGAAGCCTTGGGAGCCGGAATCCACAAAGCCTGAGTCCTCCCGCAATGGCTGGCCATTGCATCCTGCCAGCATCTGCTCCCCGCCTTCCTTCTTGTGTTCCCCGCCTTGGATGAATCTACTGCTGGGTGAAGCGCATCCTGAGGCGGGGGTAGGGAGACACCCCAAGCTGGGGCGCTGCCTGCCTCTCCCTGCCCACAGCCTCCCTGTGCCTCTGGGTCCCCCATTTCTGCTTGGCACCTAATGAGGTGCCCCACGTTTGCCCACTTCCTGCCCTTATGCTCACCCCTCCTGGGTCAGGCCCGCGACCCCTGGAGCCATCTCCTGAGTCCCTGACACTGGTCCTCCTCTCCTGATGTCACCCGGCCTGTCATACCCCTTGCATCCCACCCCCCCTCCCCCGCAGCCGCTCTACCCCAGGGTCCCGTCTGTGGGGTGGCCCCATGGTCCCCCAGGGCCAGACCCTGGGGTCCCTCCTTCCCTGCCCGCTCCCGCACACCCCCAGAGTGTGCCCTGACCCTCTTGTCACCTCTGTTTTGCCTGCAGGGTCCTGGCTCAGGCCTCATCTCCTCCCACAGGGAGCCTCAGCCTCCTCCTGGGCACCCAGCCTGCCCCCACGTGGCCCCAGAGGGGTCTTTCTGTATCCTGGACCTACCCGCCCCACCCCTGCTCATAGCCCCACCCTGGGCCAGGTCCAGCCCTCCAGCTGCTGTTGGAGGCCCTGTGGGCGGTTGCCCTGCCGGGATCTACCCTTATCTCTAATCACCTCCTCAGATAGATACTGGAGAAATTGCCTCCCTCAACATTCCAGGTCTCCTTGGGGGCTGTTTCTAATTCTGGAATGGCCCCTCCCACCCTTCCCATTGGCTCCCTGGAGAGCAATCCCCTTAGCCTCCTAGAGCCAGCCCCGCCCAGGACCCCCGCCGCTCAATCAGTAAAGAATCTGCCCGCAATGAGGGAGACCCAGGTTCGATCCCTGGTCCGGGAGAGATCCCCTGACGGAGGAACTGGCAACCCACTCCAGTATTCTTGCCTGGACGGAGGAGGCTAGCGGGCTACAGTCCACAGGACACGGCTGAAAGACTAACACGTTCATTTTCACACTTCCAGCTCCTAGAGGCTGCCTGTTTCCTGGCTCATGACCCCCTCTCATCTTCAAAGACACCCCCAGGCCCCACCCCGAGCCTCCCATGTAGTGTCTTCCTTACCCATCTTTCTCTGATTCTCCTCTCCTGCCTCTCTTCCATTTGTTTTTTTTTTTTTTTTTTAAATTTTTTGGCCGCACTGCACTGTGTGTGGAATCTTAGTTCCCCAACTAGGTACTGAACCCCCCGCCCTGCAGTGGAAACGCAGAGTCTTAACCATACTGAACCACCACCAGGGAAGTCCCACTGCCTCTTTCACGTCTAAGGACCCTCGGGATTATACTGGGCTGATGCAGACCACGCAGGACAATTTCCCGCCTTTGAGGTCAGCAGCTCAGCCAGACTTGCAGGTTCCTGGATGAGGTTGGGGATGTCTTCTGGCGCCATGACTGCCAGTTGCTGGACAAGCTGGGCACTGAGAAGTCAACCCTCGCCTTCTCCGTGGGGCTCATCTCCCCGGACTCTCTGGGATGCACCGATTTGTTTGTTCCTCATCTCCCCCTCGAGGCTTCGGAGGGCAAGGATTTGCATTGCTTTCTCCCAGTACGTCCCCGCCCCACCCCCATGAGGAAACAGGCCCTGAGAGGTGAGTGCAGCGCAGGAGGTGGTCTAACCCGCTTAGGTCTCTGATAAACCCGAGTAACTGAAGGAGAGGGGTCCCGGGTGAGACACGGGCCAGGCCAGGAGCAAATTACCAGGTTTATTGAGGCAGCAGCGGCATGAGGCGGGATGGGGGTACGGGGCAGGGGGCGGGGCCTCCGCTGGGTCCACGAGGTGTCCAAGCCCCCGGCGCTTGCTCTGGAGGCTGACGCGGTCTCGGGGGCCGCTCCGGATGGGCAGCCGTGCTCCCCTCCTGGGGTCAGTCTGCCCGCAGCCAGGAGCCCTGCTCCTCCACCTCCTTGGTCACCACCAGCAGCACCTCGCACAGGCCCTGAGCCAGCGCGGCCGCCAGGAAGGCCCTGCGCAGACATGGGGAGGCTGAGGCCTCGCGGGCGTGGGGTGGGGGAGGACAGGCCCCCTCCCCATGGCCCCCGGCCCTGGAGCCGCGCCCCCAGCCCTCACCTGACGCCATCCTCGTCGCCCAGCACCTCGGGCGCCCGCAGCTTGGAGTCCAGGTTGTAGTAGACGCCATCCACCTGGCGCAGGGCCACCCAGTGCCGCCGGCGCACAGGCAGGGACAGCAGCCCCAGCGAGACGGGCGAGGGCAGGTTCAGGATCAGCCCCAGCACCCGGGGCAGTGCCAGCTGGGACAGGGGCCTGCGGGTGGGGCGGGGGCGCCACAGTGAGAGCCCCGGCCCTGGGCGGGCGCCTGCTGGCCCAACATGACCAGGTGTGTGGGGCCCGGGCTGGTGGCGGTGGTGGGTGCCCGAGCCCACCCAGGGACTCGCCTCCATCAGCCCACCCTTTGCTTCCTTCCACTCACCTGCTGCCCACCCCACCCAGACCTCCCAGTCAGGCCACCCACCCAGCAAGTCACCCTTCACCCCCATCCACCTGCCCGTTCGTTACCCACGCATCATGCACCCAACCCAGCCAAGCCCCCAAGCACCACCTGCCCAACAACTCCACCATCCACCCCCTCCCCATCCACTCCTGACACATCTACCATTATCCATCATCCACCCATTATACACCACCCACCCATCCAAGCCTCCCAGCCATAGAACAGTCACCTACCATCCACACTCTTCACTGACCCACTCAGCCACCCACTGATGCAATCAACCCGCAGCCAGCCAGCCGGCAGCCCAACATCTCCTCCACCATCACCCAACTCTTCATCCGCTCTTTCCATCCGTCCATCCAGCCAACCATCTTGGATGTTTGCTATCCACTGCCTATCAACTGGAGAAGGCAATGGCAACCCACTCCAGTACTCTTGCCTGGAAAATCCCATGGCCGGAGGAGCCTGGTGGGCTGCAGTCTATGGGGTTGCAAAGAGTCTGACATGATTGAGTGATTTCACTTTCACTTTTCACTTTCATGTATTGTAGAAGGAAATGGCAACCCACTCCAGTGTTCTTGTCTGGAGAATCCCAGGGATGGCAGAGCCTGGTGGGCTGCCGTCTATGGGGTCGCACAGAGTCGGACACGACTGAAGTGACTTAGCAGCAGCAGCAGCCTATCAACTGAGGGCTTCCCGAGTGGCTCAGGGGTAAAGAATCTGCCTGCCATTGCAGGGGACGTGAGAGATGCGGGTTTGATCCCTGGGTTGGCCTGGAGCAGGAAATGGCAACTCACTCCAGTACTCTTGCCTGGAACATTCCATGGACAGAGGAGCCTGGCGTGCTACAGTCCATGGGGTCGCAAAGAGTTGGACATGGCTGAGTGACTGAGCACGCACCCACACGTATCAATGATCCATCCTTGATCTATCTTTCATTCACTCAACCACCCATCCATTCATATATCTTATCACCCAACCTGCCCATTCACCATCCACTTACCCATCAATCTACCCATCATGCATCCATCAGCTTACCCCCTGACCATCCCTCTATCACCTCCTGAGCCCTCAGCCGGCCAGCCACCTGTTGTCCACCCCTGCAAACCCTCCACCTGTCTACCTCTTCCTCCCTCCCTCCCTCCCATCCACCCGTCCCCTCCCCCTGCATTGTTCCCCACCGACCACCGTCGCACCGCACCCACCGCGCCCAGTTCAGCACGCCTGACGCAGTGCTATGGCCCGCACCTCCTTCGGTCCCACCACACAGCGGCCAGGCCCTGCCCCTGCAGGGCGGCCATGATCACGTTGACGTCATAGTTGCCGGTGCCCAGGAGGCTGCGATGGGGGTTCAGCCGGGAGTCTGGGGCCAACCTGGTTGGGAGGTGGTCAGGGCCTCCTGAGTTGGGGGTTCCTGAGAGGGCCGCCCCCTCCCCCACAGAGCCAAAGAGTCCCAGGGTCCGTGAGTCACCCAGCCTTGGGACTCTTCCCTCTCTTCAACCCTCTGCCGACTCATCACCCCCAGCCATGTTCCTCCTGTCCCCGACTCTCTCGTTCTGTCTTCAGGGAAGTAGGTCCTGTCCCCCACCCACAGCTCTGCTCAGGCCTTGCCCTCCTCCTCCTGGACCCTCACCCAGCTTCCAATCTCCCCCCTCCTAGGGGCTCCTCCTACACCCAGCACTGCCCCTGCCACCCCCGTCACCCCAGGAGAGAACCCCAGCCCCTTGGCCTGGCCTGGCAGGATCTGGGCCCTGCTGGCCTCCTGGCTTCATGCCCTCCCCATTCCTTGCAGCCACCTGACCCACCGCATCTCCCGTGCTCCTGCACCCCGCCTTCCCTCCAGCTGACCCCCAGCCCACTTGTCTCTCTAAGCCCCGCCTCCTTGAGACAAAGGCAACTTTGTTCTGTCTCTGGGCCTTTGGGGGGCAAGGCAGGGGGAGGGGCTGGAGAGGGGGAAAGTTGTGTATTCTTTTTCTGTGTATCTGTTTCCCTGGCTTCCCTTAGGGCAGGGGCTCACAGCGGACTCATCTTTGAGTTTCCAGCATGGCGAGCCATGAAAGAGTTGATTGATTCCTGTTCTGAATGATGGGAGGAGATGAATACATTCTAAAATAATCAGTTTGAGGGGCTGGGACTCGGCCTGAGGATGGCGGGGGCGGAGGCACTGGAGGACTGTGAGCAAGAGTTGGGGAGAAAGGGTCATCTGGGGGCGTAGGATCACATGGGGGACTGATGGGAGGAGAGAGACTGGAGGCCGAGGGGAGGGTCCAGAAGGCAGTGGGGCCAGAGAGGAGGGACTTGGCAGAGAGATAACAAAGAAGTGATGTTTGAAATCCTGAATAGTGAGGCGGCACTCCAGGCTGCCAAGAAGAGAGCCATGCCAGGCAGAAAGAACAGCCTGTGCAAAGGCCCAGGGGCACCATGTGGGGCTCATTCAGAGACTAGAGGGGAATTTGTTTGGAAGCAAGCAGTGAGATATGAAGTTGCAGAGATGGGTGGGGACCACAGCACACAGGGTTTTGGTTATCAGGCTGGGTGCGGAGCCTGGCGCTTCTGCCAGGGGTGCTGGGGGAGCCCTGGGAGGCCTGGGAGTGGGGGAGGGGCAGCTGCAGTGCTGGAGCCCTGTGTAGCCGGGACTGAAGGAGATAAACCAGAAGCTGGGAGGTGGGAAGAGAGTGAGGATGAGGGCAGAGGTAAAAGGCTGAGGCCAGGTCAGGGGCTGAGGCCAGCGGGGTGCGCAGCCGCCTGGGTAACATCTCGGCCTCTGAGTCCCGGAGTCCAGCCGGGCAGGAGATGGGGCAGCAAGAAGCCGCAGGGCTCTGCCTCAGGCCTTGCTCCGAGACCCAGGTGGGTGTCCCCACCTCCGTGAGCCCTGCTTCTCCAGGGGCTGGGGTGGGTGATGGTCACCTCTTGCAGATCTCATCGGCAGCCTCCTGGCTGAAGAGCTGCTGCTGCAGGACGTTGTTGAGGGCGTGGACGGCACAGAGCTCCAGGCGTTGCCGTTCGTGGTACACGGAGGGCGGGCTTGGCTGAGCTCCTGGGGCCTGGGACATGCCGCCCTCGGCTCCTGCTTGGAGGGGTGGGGGGAAAAGGTGCTCAGGAGTCTGGGATCTGGAAGCCCAACCTGCCAGCAGGCCCTTGGGGGCACCGTCATTGAGTGGGGGCTCGGGCAGCCTGAGGGGCCCCTGACTCTGACGATCTCCTGGCAACAGAGTACCTCCATTCCCTATTTCTAGGAAAAAAGCTCTCTTCTCTCGCTTAGCAACAGAGGACCACCACCCCCGCCCCTGCCACATCCCTAAGTGAATGGGTCCCTGTGGTGGTCACCTAGCAACAGAGAACTCCCCTCCCCTGTCCCTAGGTAACAGGCCTCCTCTCTGGTTACCTAGCAACAGAGGAGACTCCTCCCCCCTCCCCCACTCGCCCCCTACTAGGTAACCAGGCTCTCCTCTGGTTACTTAGCAATAGAGGAAGCCTCCTCCCCGTCTCTAGGTAACAGGGTCTCTTCTGGTCGCCTAGCAACAGAAGACTCCCCTCCCCTGTCACCAACCAGCAGAGTTCTCTCCTCTTGTCACCTGGCAACAGGGCCCCCTCCCCGGACACCGAGTAACAGAGCTGTCTCCCCGACCTGTACCCCAACCATGGCGCTCGCCCGTTCCGCTGCCTGGAAACGCCCCTCACCCCGCCTGCCTCTCTGTTCCCCCAAACCGGGGGCTCCCGCATCCCCCCGAGCGGCGGCTCCGGGCTCCGAGAGCGCAGGGCGGGCCGCACAGCGCTGACTGGGCAGGTGGGACGGACTACAGCTCCCGGCGGCCCCCGCGAGCCGGACTACGACTCCCGGCGACCCCGGCGAGAGCGCGAGCTCCTCACGGAACGTCCGGGCAGCGTGGCCCGGAAGTCCGGTGTCGCCCCGAGAACGCGGGACTACAACTTCCGTCAGCCCTTCGACGAGTCCCGGAAATGTGCCCTAAATCGGTCCTCTCCTTCTCACAGTTCCACGCCCCCTGGTGCTCGGAAGATTCTGGGAAACTTAGTGAGGAGGCTCTCGCGATAGGTTCGAGGGGTGTTACTTCCCTGTAAGTCCGCTTCCTGGGCTGGCGTCATGCCTAGCGTGATAACGCAGCGTGACGTCACGGAAGGGAAAGTGATCAGACACCAGACCACGCAGGGAGAAGAGCCTCCAATATTTACTGAGACCAGAGGGATGTCTGGGGACACTGAGGCCAAGACAGCAGTGGGTCGGTGGTGGTGGGAGGTAAATAAGGAGATGAGGATGTCCTCTTGGGAAGGGGGAGTCTTCTCAGCAGAGATGGATCCCCGGTTTGGAGGGGAGCTGGCAGCAGCCTGCGGGGGAGATACAGTGAATGAAAGGCTACAACAGAGAGATGAGGAGTGAAAGACACCTGGAAGAAGGAACAGATCACCGTGGGGTCGGAGAAAGACCTAGAGGGAGGGACTGAGACTCAGAGGGGAACAGAGACCCAGAGAGAGGGGCCAAAACTTAGAGGAAGAGGGATAGAGACCTGGCAGGTGGGAAGACTCACATGCTAGAGTCCCCGAGAGACGGGGACACAGAGGCTGGGAGAGGAGACTTGGAGAGAGAGTGAGAGATCTATAAAGACTCAACCTCGTGGAGAAGAAGGTTAAGGAGAAATAAAGATCAGTCGATAGAGACGGAATCAGAACTGCAGACTCAGAAAGCCTGAGACTCAAGCTCTGCCTGGGGCCCAGGAGGAGCCTGGCCGTACCCACGAGGCTGCGCCAGAAGGTGGTGACGGTGGCAGAGCCGGTGACAGCGCCTGGCTCTGCGGGGTTCTCTCTGTGCGTGTGCACAGCGAAGCTTCGGCCTGTGGGGCCCGGGGGTCCGCTCAGCTCCACATCCACCACGTGCATGTTCTTGAGGCTGGGGCAAGCAGGGTGGTCAGTCTAGCTGGTCTGGCCCCAGCCCAGACCCCCACTCAGCTCCGCTCACCTGAAATCAGCCACAAGCACCCCGATCACACGGTCGAAGCCCAGGCTGGGGGCGGCCAGGGCAGCGGCCGCCATGGTGTTGGAGTTTCGGGGGGCGTGGGGGCAGAGCCCCCGAACAGGGCCTTCATAGAGCACAGCACGAGACCCGGTGCTGCGCATCGTAGCCAGGGGTCCCTCGAGCCGGAAGCCATCGGGGTGTGTGGCCATGGAGACACGGAGGCTCTGGAAGTGAGAGCTGGGGTCAGGGAGCCTGGGTGTGCCTGTTGGCCGCCTCTGATTCCCGGGGAGTGCAGCGGGCCCTCACCTGGAGACCCCCGGCTTCGTCCAACCTGGAGATGTCCTCCGCGCCCCACAGGGCCCCCCGGGCCACGAACACAGCGTGGCCCCAGAGATNTGGAGACCCCCGGCTTCGTCCAACCTGGAGATGTCCTCCGCGCCCCACAGGGCCCCCCGGGCCACGAACACAGCGTGGCCCCAGAGATGTGAGGCCTCCAGGAGCTGCTGCTCTGTGGCTTGGTCAGCCAGGGCTGAGGGGGACCCTACCTGGGGCAGATGAAGCGGGGAGCTAAGGTCAGGAGACGGATCCCACTTTAGGGTGGGGTGGTGTCAAGGTGGAAGAGGCGGGGCTCACCAGGAGATTTGCGTAGCGCAGGATTTCTGCCCCAGATTCCTGGATTATTTTGGGATGGGCCACTTCCACCACAAGGTCAGGGTGCCTGAGAGACAGGAGAGAGGCGGGGAAGGCCTCGAAGAGGTATCAGACCTCCCCCCGCTCCCCAGGTTCCCTGAGTCTGTGGAGGCCCATCATGTTTCACTCTGGCCTGGGAGGGGAAATAGGAGGACGCTTGTCCTGTTTCACGTTTGGGAGAGGGAGGACCAGAGAGGGTTAAGGGCCTTGCCTGAGAGCACACATCACCTAAAGGAGGCCAGAATAAGAGTTTCAGAGAGCCCTGCTCTCTCACAGCGAGGTCACTGACCTCTCCCCGAGAGCATCAAGATTCTGGAGCTGGAGGGAAGGGGGTACGCTCCCCGCCATTCGTCCTGCGTCACGGTTCCAGACAAAAACAAGTTCTAGGCCCAGTTCTGGTCCCTGAGTCAGCAAGTGGGAGACCAGGGACTGTCCTGGGGAGAAGCAAAGAGACTCAGAGAGAGGGGGACAGGGACTCGGGGGGAGGGGACAGAGACCCAGAGGGAGGGGGACAGGGACTCAGAGGGGACAGGGACTCAGAGAGAGGGGGACAGGGACTCAGAGGGGACAGGGACCCAGAGAGAGGGGGACAGGGACTCAGAGGGGACAGGGACCCAGAGAGGAGGACAGGGACCCCAGGAGGGGGCACAAAAACAGGTGGCGGGCAGAGACCCTGAGGGGCCAGAGACCCGTGGTGGGGAGTGGAACACGCTTAGGTAGAATCAGCCAGGCCACAGATCAGGACAGAGATGAAAGGAATGTTGGTGGAGGACACAGGCTTTTGAGGCCCCAGAAAGGGCGTTGGGGAGAGGCCCCGGACAGTCAAGGACTCACCAAGGCGGCCGTAGCCCACTATCCCCACCTTCCTCGGGACCCTGTCGAGGGCCATGCCCTTGAATTCAGTGATCTGCATCTGAGCTCCGCTGCCTGCTGCCCCTCTCACCCCACACACGAGGTTTGGGCAGTGGCTGATCTTTGGACTCTGACCCTCGGTCCTCTCCCGAACCTTCCCCCTTCCCTGTGGTGGCCCAGAGGTGGGGGTGAGGGGGTGCTGCGTGGGGGCAGAAGGAGGATCCTGGGGACGGTATGCGGTTTGGAGTTCTAGGACTCTGCATCGTGCCCCCCCCCCAATCTAGCCTGTTCTTTCTCTGCATCACGCCCTCCTGTCTTCCTGCTGATGTGGAAAATTTCCTCTGCAGTCCCCTGCCCCCCTTTTCTGGCCAGCCAGGTTGTCATGGAAACTGCATCCTGCTTGGGTTGGGGGTAGAGAGGGTTGGGAGCAGGGGAGAGGAGACGGTGACGCTGGACTCTGGGCTCTGTCTGTCCCCTTCCTTCTGCTTCTGTATTTCCAGTCCCCATCCTTGCCCCACCCCAACCACCACCGGTGCCTTGGCACCCGGGATTCTTGTCAATGTTCCTCCTCAGCGGTTTCCTCCCTTGGTTCTCTGTCTCCATCTCGTGTGTCTCTCACACTCATCGCTGTCTCTCCACCTTTTCCTGGATCTCCATCCCTCCAGCTTCCACTCCTGCCTCCTCTGGGCTGGCTACCATTCCGTCCCCAGCCAGGCCAGGCCCTCATCTCCCGCAAAGTCCGAGGGAGGCCTGGCCTGGTCATGCCTATCTCCCCACAAGGCAGCAGGAGCTGGAGTCGCGTTCATCCTAGCCTCAGAAGCCCCCTCCCAAACGACCCCCCACCCACAGCTCCCATGGAGGGGTCCATGCCCGCAGCCCCTCTCCAAACCTGCCTCCCGCCAGTCTAATCATCCTTCTGTTCACCTTGACGTCTCACCTTTTACCCTCCCCTTCCCCAGCCAGGGCACCACCTTATATCCTCACTCCCATGCTCGTATCTCCCCTCTTGCCACCTCCCATGGCCAATGAGAAACCTGCGAGGCCTGGGGAGGCCCTGAGTGCCCCCCCCACCCCCGACCATGAGCCCCCGCCACTGCGCCTCGAGGGTGCCTGGCATCGGAAATGGCGGAGGCTGCAGCACTCTTGGCTCCCTGCCCCCAACCACCACCTGGTACCCGCTGCAGTGTTGCCATAGCAACCAGGATGGGCCCAGAGAGAGGACAAGAGAGGAGAGAGCGAGCTTGAAAGAGGGAGCGAGGGGGAGCCAGGCGTCGCTCGAGAGGAGAGTCTCCAGCAGACAGGCCTGACAAATAGGGCCGGGGACCCCAGACACGTCGCAGCAGAGGCGGCTGCACGGGTGATAAGGGAAGAATTTGCTCTAAGAGCCCCAGGTGGGGGAGAGAGAAGATTCTGTGGGTCAGAAACAGGCGGGGCGGAGGCGGAGGGCCAGGAGCATGGACCCAGTCCAGGGCCTCTGGGAGCACAGAGGGCCTGGGTGGGGTCCCGGGGGCTTCCAGCCCTCCTCGCGCTCCACCTGCAGTCGTGGACGCCACAGGGTCCGGCCGTCCTGCGCATGCGCCAGGCCTGCCCTGTCCGCGGACCGGGGTGGGCGCTGGGGAGAAAGGCGGCTGAGACCCGAGCCGCTGCTGGGGCCGAGCCCCATGTGTGCGCAGTGATGTCTGCCCGGAGCAGTGCCTTATCCTGCTTCCACTGGCTTCTGCCCGTCTGCACAGCACGCAAAAGCTGCCCTGGGGGACCCTCTGGAGGTTGAAACGCTGGCACCTTGGCCTCCTCCGGCCCCGCCAGCATCTGCCCGCTGGCCTGACCAACCTCTGGCGTTTGCTTCCGCTGGCTGGCTCTCATATCTCGGAGGACTCTGTGCGGCCCCTGCCCTCTGAACTACACCATGCGTCTGAGCCTGCTAAATCACTTCAGTCGCGACTGACTCTTCGTGACCCCATGCACTCTAGCCAGCCAGGCTCCCTCTGTCCATGGGCTTCTCCAGACAAGAATATTGGAGTGGGTTGCCACGGCCTCCCCCAGGGGATCTTCCTCAACCAGGGATCCAACCCACGTCTCTTGCATCTCCTGCACTGGCAGGCGGATTCTTTACCACTAGTGCCACCTGGGAAGCTACAACATAGCCCCCGCCTACTCCCCGGGCCTGGACTCTGCCTCGTGCCTCTGAGTTAACCAGGCAGAAGTGCAGCCCCCTCGTGCCCAGCAGGCCCCAGCTGCATCTTGAGCACTCTTCATGCCCCTCCTCCCCTCCCCTGCCGACTTTCTCTGGAGGCAGTGTCTCCAATGGGTTTGCAGTGGAGACGGACCCTCTCAGGTTTGGCTCTGTGATGAGCTGAATTGTGTCCTCGCCTCCAGGAGCTGTGAATATGACCCTAGTAGGAAATAGGGTCTTTGCAGATGACTGAGATCATGCTGGAGCCGGTAGCCCCCAATCCGATATGGCTGCTATCTTCATAAAGAGGGGTTCCCAAGTGGCTCAGTGGTAAAGAACCTGCCTGCCAAGCAGGAGATGGGGTCTTTGCAGATGACTGAGATCATGCTGGAACCGGTAGCCCCCAATCCGATATGGCTGCTGTCTTCATAAAGAGGGGTTCCCAAGTGGCTCAGTGGTAAAGAACCTGCCTGCCAAGCAGGAGATGCCGGTTCCATCCCTGAGTTGGGAAGATCCCCTGCAGGAGCGTGTGGCAACCCACTCCAGTATTCTTGCCTGGGAAGTCCCACGGACAGAGGAGCCTGGAGGGCTACAGTCCATGGGGTCACAAAAAAGTCAGACACGACACAGGGACTAAACAACAACCACCTCATAGAAGGGGGGGAGTTGGGCACAGATACAGAGGAAAGGTGACGTGGGGACGGGGGAAGAATGCCCTGTGGAGCCTGGGGTGACACCGCCACCAGCCAAGGAGCACCTGGGGCCCCCAGAAGTCAGAAGGGGCGGAGAAGGACCCTTCCCTACAGAGAGAGCATGGCTCTGCCGCTACCTTGATCTTGGACTCGGAACTGAGACACTAAATTGCTGTGGTTCTGAGCCACCCACTCTGTGGTACCTTGAAAGAGCTGCCCCAGGAATCAAGCCCCCTGGATTCCTGCTGTGAGGTGGGAGGGGAGAGGACCCCAGAACATGCCTCCTAAGAGGTGCAAGGAGATTAAACACAATGCCAGGTGCGCTGGGCGGCCCAGCCCTTCTCTGGGGCCTCAGGGGTGAAAGCGTAAGGGTCTAAGACCACCTGGAGGCACCAGCTCCCCTGCTGACCTTCCCGATGGGGCCTGGAGTTTTCCAGCTTCTCATTCAGCTGCCCACCCACGTTCCCTTTTTTCTCTCTCCTCCATGCTTCCATGACCAAAAAAAATTTTTTTTTTTTTTTTTACTTTTTCCGTGTTTTTTTTTTTTTTTTTAAAGTAATTACAGAGCAGGTAGTCGTTGACGCAAACCTCCCTTCAGTATCAAAAGAGTCTGTGGGGCAGGAGAAGGTTGGGGATAACCGTGGGGGACGGGCTGACGCCGCCCCATCCCCGGCCCACGGGGGCCTGGGGGCCAGGAGTGGACTCCCCCGGGACAGGGCCAGGGTGTCCGGAGGCTCTGACCGCGTGTCTGTCTCTTCAGTTTCCAGGGGGTTAGGGGTAGGATAGGGCGGGGGTGGGGGTCGGGGGACAGGCGTCAAACTGCAAAAAATGAACCGTAAAAGGAGGGCTGTTGGGGGCGAGGGGAGAGGACACCCCTCAAAAAAGCTCCTCTCTCCCCTGGAACGCAGAGGGCCCGGAGCAGTTGTTCGCAGAGCAAGGAGGAAAGGCGGAGGCTTCCGGCCACTCCCCTCCTGCGTCCCCTCCCATCGCCAGGGAGGGGGCGAGGCCCGGAACCCCTGGGGGGCTCCATTCCCAGGGCCCCACCCTGTCCTCGCTTGGAGAGCCGCCCTGGGGTCCGGACGCTGGTGGGGGCTCTGAGCTGCCTGCCCCAACCTCCCCTGTGCGGGGTTGGGGCTGTGGGGAGGGTCCCGGTCCGGCCCCAGCCCCTCCCCCCTAGGGGGGGCCCACCCCATCCCCCCCAACCCCGGCTTCAGATCTGCGTCTCTTGCACGTTCTCCTTGGAGCCGCTCTTGAAGAGCAGAGGTTCGTGGATGGAGTTGAGGCCGGGCGGGCCCTTGCCCCCGCAGCCCCCGCCGCTCGGGTTGCTGCTGTAGTGCGCCTTGAAGGCGGCCGCCACGTAGTGGTGGTGGTTGAGGTGGTCGCGCTCCAGGGCGGGCAGGGCCAGGTGGGTCCACGGCCGAGACGTTGAGTGTGGCCGAGGCCGTGGTGTTGCCGGCCGAGTTCGTCACCATGCAGGTGTACTGGCCCGTGTCTTGCACGGTGACGTTGGTGAAGTTGAGCGTGCCGTCGTGGAGGACGGAGATGCGCACGCGATACGAGCCGTGCGTCATGAGGGTGCCATTGGGCGTCAGCCAGTTGACGGAGGTCATGGACGTGCCCGTGCGGCACTTGAGCTCGGCAGCCATGCCCTCTGTGACGTTGAGGTCCGTGGGCGGCTCCACGATGACCGGCGCGTAGCAGGTGAAGTGCGACTGGTCCAGCTCGCCGATGTAGCGCCCTTTGAGGCCGGCGGGCGCGTGGCAGCGCGCGCAGCACGTCGTGTTGCTGGGCACCGTCTCCTTGAGCCACCAGCTGAGCCACAGCACGTCGCAGTTGCAGTGCCAGGGGTTGTGGTTGAGGTGGACGCGCTCCAGGCGGTGCAGGGGCGTGAAGAGGTCGTGGGGCAGCGACATCAGATTGTTGTGGGACAGGTTGAGCTCCTCCAGCGACTTGAGGTCGTCGAAGGCGTTGCGCTCGATGGTGGCCACCTGGGCGTGCATCAGCCACAGCTTGCGCAGGCTGGTCAGGCCCTGGAAGGAGCCCGGGCGGATGAGGTCCAGCCGGTTGCCGGACAGCTCCAGCTCCTCCAGGCGCACCAAGGCTGTCAGGTTGGGGATGTCCTTGAGGTTGCACATGCCCAGGTTGAGGTAGCGCAGGTTCACCAGGCCCTCGAAGGCCGCCTCCGAGATGTACTCCAGCCGCTTGAGCTCGCCCAGGTCGAGGCGGCGGAGCGAGGGCACGCGGTTAAAGGCGTACGACGGGATGCTCTCAATGGGGTTGTTCCGCAGCCAGAGCTCGCGCAGCTTGGACAGGTATTCGAAGGCCTGCGTGGGCACCGTCGTCAGCCGGTTGTCGAACAGCTCCAGGGTGTTGAGGCTGGGCAGCCCGTTGAAGGCGCCCACCTCGATCTTGCGCACCAGGTTCTTGCTCAGCTGTAGGATCTCCAGGTGCCGAAGGTGCTTGAACGTGTCCGTCCGGATCACCTGGGGGTGGGGTGGGGAGGGGAAACACCATCGGTGATACTGACACTAACTGGGTGGACCACAGAGGGTTTTGTTTTGTTTTTTAATTATTTTATTGAAGTGTGGTTGATTTGGGCTTCCTTGGTGGCTGAGACAGTAAAGAATCTGCCTGCAGTGCTGGAGACCTGGGTTGGATCCCGCGGTAGGGAAGATCCCCTGGAGAAGGGAATGGCAGCACACTCCAGTATTCTTGCCTGGAGAAGCCCATGGACAGAGGAGCCTGGTGGGCTATATAGTCCAGGGGGTTGCAGACAGTCAAACACCTTGAATGACTAACACTTTTCATGGCTGGTTAATTTCTGTTGTAAACCAGTGATTCAGTTAATAGATACATGAAAAATACATGTATATATTCATATATATGAAAAATTATATATATATATATATACACACAACACACATTCTTTTTTCTATTCTTTTCCATGATGGTTTATCACAGGATACTGAATATAGTTCCATGTGCTATGCAGTAGGACACTGTTTATCCATTCTATATATAATCGTTTGCATCTGCTAATCCCAAACTCCCAACCCATCCCCTCCCCTTGGCAACCAGGAGTCTGTTCTCTATGTCTGGATCAAAGAGCTCTGAGTGCTGGCGCGGGCGACGACTCCCCACGTCTCCATCTTTGCTGTAAGATCATGAGGTCACTGTGGAAAGTAGTTTGAGGCTTTCTTTTTATAAAGTGAAGCAGAGTTAGTTACCTGGGACCCAGCCCTTCCAGTTCCCAAGTATTTCCCCATGAGAAAGGACAGCAGATGTCCATCCAAAAGCCTGTGATGGGTGCTCACAGCATCTGTGTTCATTACAGCCCAAGCTGGAAATGAACCAGGGCCCATCACCTGGTGATGGAGCCACACTCTGTGTCTGCAGGATGGGACACAACAGCTCAGCAAGGAAAAAGAACAAACTTTGGACACAACAGCTTGGATGGATCTCACGGGCGTCAGGTTGGGTGAAAGCAGCCAGACCCAAAGGAGCATGTGCCATAGAACCCTGTCCATTCCACGTGTGTGTGTATGTTCCGGGGCAGGGGGAGGACAGTCTGCAAAGGGCCACGAGGGAACAGGATTCCTGGGCTGATAGAAATGCCCCTAGTTGGGGTGGTGGTTACAAAGGTGAATGCAACTGTCGAAAGTCCCCAAACTGTATCCATAACATAGTGAAGTCGCTCAGTCGTGTCCGACTCTTTGTGACCCATGGACTGTAGCCTACTAGGCTCCTCTGTCCGTGGCATTTTCCAGGCAAGAGTACTAGAGTGGGTTGCCATTTCCTTCTCCAGGGGATCTTCCCTACTCAGGGATCAAACCCAGGTCTCCAGCATTGCAGGCAGATTCTTTATCAGCTGAGCCACCAGGGAAGCCCACCCATAACATGGGAGGCATTTTATCCTATATAAAGTATTTAATCAGAAAGATTAAATATAGGAAATCCCCTGGTGGTCCAGTGATTAGGACTCCAAGCTCTCACTGCCGAGGGCTCCAGTTTGGTCCCTGATCAAGGAACTAATGGAGAAGGCAATGGCACCCCACTCCAGTACTCTTGCCTGGAAAATCCCACGGACGGAGGAGCCTGGTAGGCTGTGGTCTATGGGGTTGCTAAGAGTCGGACACGACTGAGCGACTTCACTTTCACTTTTCACTTTCATGCACTGGAGAAAGAAATGGCAACCGACTCCAGTGTTCTTGCCTGGAGAATCCCAGGGACGGGGGAGCCTGATGGGCTGCCATCTATGGGGTCACACAGTGTTGGACACGACTGAAGTGACTTAGCAGCAGCAGCAAGGAACTAAAATTTCACAAGCTTTGTGGCATGGCCAAAAAAAAAAAAAAAAGATTAAAAAAAGTTAGGGACTTCCCTAGTGGCCCATATGTTGACTCTGTGCTGCCAATGCAGGGGGCATGGGTTCAGTCTCTGTTTGGGGGACTAAGATCCCACATGATGCATGGCATGGCTAAAAGATTAAAAAAAAAGTTATGCCAGTAGTTAACATGCATTGGATACTTCTTGGGTGCCAGAAGCTATTCTAATTGCTTTATGGCCAACAACTCAGTTAATCCAACAAATCACCCTGAAATCTGCAGAGCAACTATGAAATCCATAGAGCTCCAAAAACCAGGTTTCTCAAAAACTTTGGCACCAAACCCCATTTGGTGGCAAAACCTGATCCGAACTCATGTGAAGCTGTTTAAAGCTTTTATTGATCCCCTTCTTGTGACTAGTCAAACATTCCACTCTAGAACATTCCCAGATTTAAGAAGTATGAGATCCTTGCGGGTGCTGTAAACATGTATGCTATATATGAATATCTTTCTAATATCAGATGGCCAAACACATTCATCCTTGAGGGTGTCACACGAAGGGTTAATGAATTATCTCCATCTAAGTGGGAAGATGAGTGTGAAAGAGGAGAGTGGGAAAGCTGGCTTAAAACTCAACATCCTAAAAACTAAGATCATGGCATACAGTCCCATCACTTCATGGCAAACAGATGGGGAAAAAGTGATAACAGTGACCAATTTTCTTTTCTTGGGCTCCAAAATCACTGGACAGTAGACAGTGACTGTAGCCATAGAATTAAAGGATGCTTGCTCCTTGGAAGAAAGCTATGACTAACCTAGACAGCATATTCAAAAGCAGAGACATTACTTTGCTGACAAAGATTCATGTAGTCAAAGCTATGGATTTTTTTCCAGTAGTCATGTACAGATGTGAGAGTTGGACCCTAAAGAAGGCTGAGTGCTGAAGAATTGATGCTTTCGAACTGTGGTGTTGAAGACTCTTGAGAGTCCTTTGGACTGCAAGGAGATCAAACCAGTCAATCCTAAAGGAAATCAATCCTGAATATTCATTGGAAGGATTGATGCTAAAGCTGAAGCTCCAATACTTTGGCTACCTGATGCAAAGAACTGACACGTCAGAAAAGACCCCAGTGCTAGCAGCAAGACTGAAGGCAGTAGGAGAAGGGGACAACAGAGGATATGATAGTTGGGTGGCATCACGGACTTGATGGATGAGTTTGAGCAGGCTTCAGGAGTTGGTGATGGACAGGGAGGCCTGGCATGCCGCAGTCAGCGGGGTAGCAGAGAGTGGGAACGACTGAGTGACAGAACGAGGACAAAGCGGGAGGAAGTGGAGGCACAGAGACGCAGTGACTGGCCAGGGGTGCACAGGAGGGGCTGGCAGATCTGGGATCCGACCGAGGTTGTCTGGCTCCAGAGCCCCAGCTCTTCACCCCTGCACTCGGCTGCCACCTGTCAGGGTGGAGGTTGATGGACCACAGAAGGGGCTGAGCTGGGCTGGGCGTGGGACGCAGAATCTAATCTTACCAGATTCTCCTCATCAATCACCGTGCTGGTTACAGCAAGGCACCGGAGATCACGCAGCCATCAGACAGCTTCTCTGCAGCCTAGTTATGCCACGGAGATGCTTGCATTTGAATATTAAGGGGATAATGGAGAACCCTAAATAGCAGACAGTGTGCTTATGACCTCATAGAACTTAAAAAAAACAGCCAAGGAACGGTGTGTGTGCATATACACAGCAAGAAAAGGCCGCAAGGACAGGCCCTAGCCACTTCTTGGTGGTGAACTCCAGCAGCTGGGGATTAGGGACTTCAGTTATTTTTCTTAAGTTATGCTTTCTCTTTAATGAATAAAAATTACTTTTAAGTAGAAAAAGACTTTAAAAACTTAAAAAAAGAGACTCTAACCTGGGAGGCACCCCAGGATAAGGAACAATGTTATTCCTGGTGCAGTTATCATCGTAAAACACGAGCCCACCATTCCTGCCGCCATGACCCAACAGAAGCATGACGCCCGCTACGTGTTTAATTGTCAATTTCCTAGAGGCCCCATTAAAAAAAAAAAGACCCAAGACAGATGAAATCAATTTTAATGATTGATTAGCTTGATAGTTCCAAGATAGAAGGGGACAACACAGGATGAGATGGTTGGATGGCATCACTGACTCAATGGACATGAGTCTGAGCAAACTCCGGGAGATGGTGAAGGACAGGGAAGCCTGGCGTGCTGCAGTCCATGGGGTCGCAAAGAGTCAGACGACTGAACTGGATTTCCTGGTAGCTCAGCTGGTAAAGAATCTGCCTGCAATGTGGGAGACCTGGGTTCGATCCCTGGGTTGGGAAGATCCCCTGGAGAAGGGAACGGCCACCCACTCCAGTATTGTGGCCTGGAGAATCCCATAGTCCATGGGGTCGCAAAGATTCGGACACGACTGAGTGAGTTTCATACACTCACTGGTGACCGAACAGCAACATTATGGTTTCAACATGTAATCCAGGGGAGAACTTACAAATGAGATATTTTACGATCTCTTTTTTAAATTTATTTTTACTAAGCTGGGTCTTCATTGCTGTGCAGGCTTTTTCTCTAGTTGCAGAAAGTGGGGGCTGATCTCTAGTTGCGATGCTACAGTTTCTTATTGCGGTGGCCTCTTGGTGCTGAGCACAGGTTCTAGGGCACGGGCTCAATGCTTGTGGCCCATGGGCCTAGCTGTTCCGCCGCATGTGGGATCTTCTGGGACCAGGGATCGAACCTGTGTCTCCTGCTTTGGCAGGTGGAGTCTTTTACCACTGACCCACCAGGGAAGCCCCTATTTTACACTTTTTCCACACTAAGTCTTTGAGGTCTGATGTGTGTTTGACAGGCCACACCCTTAGTAGCCAGTTCCTGCCTTTCCCCTCAATAATAGGATATTGTGAGCCTTCCCCATGTCATGAATATGCTTCTAAAACCTGACTTCTGTGCCCACCTAGAATCTCTTCCTGGAGCTACACCTGCTTTCAGAGATGGAATTGACAAGGGCAGTTTTTTCTTTTCCTTAATACGCTCCTGCCTCATCTCATTTCCTGCAGTGAACAGGCTCACTTTTAGACCTAGACGTGGCTAGGGAGGGCTGGCCTGGGGACGATGCGGCCTGCATCGATGGGGATGCAGCC